CACTCCTAGATATTTATCCAGCTTCTTTGAAATCTTATATGCACACATGCACACAAATATCTTTATAAGCTTTAGTCATCATTATCAATTACTGAAAAGAACAAAGATATACTTCAGTGGGTGAATGGATAGATAAATTGGTAAATCCATACAACAGAAGAGTCTTCATCAAAAAAGAGAAAGAAAGAAAGAAAGAAAGAAAGACAGACAGACAGAAAGAAAGAAAGAGAAAGAAAGAAAAAGAAAGAAAGGAGTAAGCCCTCAAGCCATATAAAGACATGGATGAATCTCAAATGCATGTTACTAAGTGAAGGAAACCAGCCTGAAAAGGTGACATATGTATAATTACTTCCACCTCCCCAGCTTTTTAAAAACATTCTATTTTTTAATGTTTTATTTATTTCTGAGAGAGAGAGAGAGACAGACAGACAAGGTGAGCAGGGGAGGGTCAGAGAGAGAGGGAGTTACAGAATCTGAAACAAATCCAGGCTCTGAGCCAGCTGTCAGCACAGAGCCCGATGTGGGGCTCGAACCCACGAACCGCGAGATCATGACCTGAGCTGAAGCTGGACGCTCAACCCACTGAGCCACCCAGGTGCCCCAGAAGCATTCTGGGAAATGTAAAAACATTTTTGAAAGGGTAAAACTCTAGAGATGATAAACAGGTTGATCAGTGGGTTGCCAGAGGTTTGAGACAGGGAGACCACTGAGTAGGTGAAGCACAGAGGATTTCTTAGGGTAGTGAAAACTATTCTGTATGATACTTTATGATAGATACATAGTGTCATTTGGCACATGATATTACACATTTGTGGAAACCCGTAGAACTTTCTATCATCAAGAGTAAACTTTAGTATATGCAAATTTGCAAAATTGTTGGTGGAAATTAAGGAATCCTAGAATGGAATGCAGAACATAAAAAAATATAAAACATTATAAATGTATGAAACAGCATCCCTGAGGAGGGTGAGGTGAAAGGTGCTGAACTACGTAACTTTGGAAATGAGGGGAGCCTGTAAGACTAAAGACAAAAGGAACTGTGTATAAGCTCTGGACTCTAGTTGCTATAGATGCTTCCCAAGGGCATTGGGTAACAGTTCTGAAGCCCTTTTACATGAATACTGGAATTGAACAATCCAGGAAACGGATGGCAGATGGTAGGACCCAGGTTTTTCACTGTTGGGAGTGGAAAGTTACAGATAAGAAGGCTAAGACATTCAATATGAACTCATATTTATTTTAATATAGATATAGATGATTGTATATAGAAATATTTATAGATGTGTATATGTACATGTTAGTATATACACACGCACATGCATATATTTCCTTGCTCTCCCAGCTGAGAGGATCTAGAAACATTGATGCCCCAGTAGCAACAAGTACACCCAGCACCCAGATCTTGGTTTCTAATATCATTCTCTAACAAAAGGAACCAAAGTTCCTTGAAGAAATGGCTGGTTTAACAATGGGGCAATAGCATCTTGATGAGCCTATACCATCATGTGGTTCCAGAAAATAAGGAAGTGCTCAAACCAACCAGCCAACTCAAACAATGCTGAATAGGTCAAAAGAACATAGGAGCCAACTGAAAGCTTTCAGTGGACAAAGTTGGAACAATATGAGCAAGAAAATAAATAACATAGTATTGGGTTATAATCCAAAGTGTAAAGTAAGCACCTATGAGTCCTTTCTGATACAAATAAATGATGGATAAATAAATGGGGAAGAATAGATAAACTTCCTATGCAGAGTAATTTCAATAGCTCACTTCCTTCCATAGCGACTTCTTTCCAGTGTCTGAGGTGATACTATTATTTATGTGGCCAGTTGCCTATTAATGGGCATTTCTTTTCTGTTCTTTTTCTTTATAAACAGTACTTTGGTGAATCCTTGTACATTAGTTCCTCTAAATTTCCGTGTTTTCATAAAACAAAAATTCTAGAGAGAATAGAAGTTAAGCATCTTTCAAGATATATTTAAGTTGCTCTTCAAAATGGTCCTATGAATTTATATTCCCCAAAATGGTGTAAAAGAGTACCGGTTTCTTTACATTCTTGGTACAATACATGACCCACAAAGAGTTAATGTATTTTCCTTAATACACAAAGAACTTTTACTAATCAGTAGTAAGAGTAGAAAGATGGGTAAGGATCCGAGCAGGTAATTCACAGGGCAAATAGTACAAATGGCCTATAAATATTTGTAACAAAAAAATGAAAGAAAAGTACAAAAAAGATGTTAATCGAATAGTTATGGTAGAAATGCACATTAGAAACAATGAGACATTCTTTTGTCTGTTCGGTTAGTAAAAAAAAAATTGCAATCACTGGTATTTTGCATGGGGATATGGATCAGCTCAAACGTGTTGATGGATAAACAAATAGACCTTTTGGAGGCCATGTCTTTTATATATTATACATATATTTTGAAAATAGGTACACATACTTTTATTCACTCCCCCTGACTAGACTTTATCCTAAGATAAATGGTAAGGTAATTAAAAATGTATAAAGATTTGTGTGTAAATATGCTCACGGCAGCTTTGTTTAGTACAACAAGATAATCAGAAATAACCTGTCCAACAGTAGGAGGTTACTTAATGATGAAATATCCCAAAGATGGAATACTTGGAAACTGGTAAAAATATTGTTGTAGAAGAATATTCATTCACTTATAAAAATTCTTGTGATAATATACTTAATATATACCAACTTAACTGAAAAAGACAGATATGTGGAAAAGAGAGAGGAGGACACAAACCACAATGCCGTCATCGTGGTCTGTATATGAGAATGAGGTCGCGAATGATTTCTGCCTTTTGTGCCTGTCTCTGCGTCCTTTGTTTTCTGCCTTAAGCTTCTCTTCAATTTCGTAGTTAGAAAAGAGAATAAAAAGTGTCGGACACTTTGCTGATTCTACCTTTGCAATGTCTTTCTTGTCTGCCCCTTCTCTCCTATCTCCTTCAACATGGCCCTAGCTCAAGCCTCCTGCCTGTCCCTTAGACCATTGCCTCAGGTTCCTGATGGGTGTCCCCGCCCCTACAGAAGACTGTCCCTTCTCTGCGTGGAAACCTCTGGAAATCTCCCCGTGTAGACTAGCACCTAAGGTCCTTCTTGCTCCAGATCCCCGCAATCTGGCCTTCGATGCCCTTTCCAGCTTTAATTGCCCGCATCTACCCTGACTGCACAGAGCACCCACAACTCCAGACCAGTCAGTCCACTCGGCTCTCCCGGTCATGGTCTATACAGCCATACCTCAGTCCTGCCTTTATCCTTTTGAAGTCCACCCATCTTTCAAGGCCTGCCTCTTCCAGCAAGCCTTCCCCTATCATTACCTCCGCCATGTTCTAGTCCACTTAGGTTGAACTTCTTCTCTGTCCATGATTGCCAGGTGATTTCTGGAGGGCCCTGCCTCCTCCTTTGGTTTCTTCCATACCAGGCAAAGACTGATCGAGTCTGGACTCACACGGTCGAGCCTGCACACAATACAGGCTTCATGAAAATCTATTGTATTGAATTGACTCAGAGTTGCTTCTGCTTTCTGTGGCTGCATATCAGAGTCAAGTCGGCCATGTTCCATAATTATGCCTTAAATACATGTGATTTGGGGGCATGCAGGAATCTATTAAATTATACATATAAACTATCACACTTGAGATTATGTGGCATAAAAAATGTGCATATATTAAAATATAAGGTTTACGGGCATGCCATTTGGTGTTCAGAAAGCCTTTCTTCCATAACTGGCTAGTAAACGTTTGAGTCTGAATTTAATTTTAGGCAAATCCTTGGAAAAAATGCTCCTATGGAAAACCAGGCATATCCTGGAGGCAAACACAGATAATTATGCGGAAAAAACTTTTCTATAATATTCCTGCTTAACATAAAAAGCAAATTTTTTATTCTTGGTTACTATTTCCTTGTTTTTGCATTGAAAAGTGACAGTATTTTGGGGAAGAGAATAAATTTGGTTGTAGCAATAAATGTGCCTCCTTAAGTCTGGAACATCCATCCCTGTTTTTCTTTGTAAAGTTTAGAGGTTTTCACACGCCTTGCAGCCCTTTCACCTCCATGCGTCCCCGTACCCTGCACAGCTCTCTCTCTGTCTTTCCCTTGCTGTCATTCCACCCTTGGGTGTCTGTGTGTCACACAGCAGCATTCTTACAGTAGTGAGACATAAGCAGTAACCACTTCCTAGAGGTTCTTGGCACGAAGCCCCTTCCGTGTTACCCTGAGGTATCACGGGAGTCAACTGTACCCTGGTAGAGAATTCGCTTGTTCCCAGAAGGATTTGAGGGGTTGGGAATGTTCATTTCTGTGAGAGGTCAGACATGAACAGTATTCTGAGCCCAAAGTGCCACTATGTCCTTTTGACGTGTGTAGTCTCCAGAAAACCCTGTCTCTTCACCTGCCTTGCTTTATGGAACATCAAAAGACGCTTTCGTATCATTTAAATTATTGGGCGAACCCTTTCCTACAAGAAATTTGTTACAGTTGTGCAACTATTGGTGAATCCTTCCCGTCTTGGGTCTGCCTGGGGATATAGATCTGATGGGTGGTACCGCCAGTGTACATATTCCTTTGGCCATTTGTCCTTCCCTCCATCCAACTCTCCATCCATGGTCTTCCCACAACTGGGGTCCTTCTGAGCAGGCTTCAGTCTGATTCATCTCAGAATTCCCCGCAGCGACTTGAGAGAGATTCCTATGTCATGGGAACCCGGTAGCTCCCCTGGCTGGTGAGGAAAGTACTTGTCTCACTCGGCACCACTGTGCATGTTGGAGAGCGGGTGCTGAAGGAGGGACTCATTTGTAGGCTAGATGTCGTACAAAAAGGGACCCTCAACCACATGCACCCCCAGGCTGGAAGGCTGTGCTCTTCTAGTTTCCTGACCTCTGGGAAATGGGTGAGGGCAACATGGGTGGTCTGGCATTTAACCACTGTTCTGGTGTGCGTGCGTGTGTGTGTGTGTGTGTGTGTGTGTATTTGACTTCACAGGTCAGTTTTTGGGTTGTACGAGAAATTCTAACAGCACAGACTTTAAAAATAAGGGCAGAAATCCTGAGCCATTTTGTGAAAATAGCCAAGGTAAGCCATTTAATTATTTTTTTTCTTCCTTCCTTTTCTTGTTTGTTTTGTTTTGTTTTGTTTTGTTTCAGAGTGTGTTTCCTCATCAGTACTTTGGGAGCTGCTTTGCTCTGGGCCTGCTGGGCAGGGTTCAAACAGATGGCTGTGACCTGACCTCTCCAGGCTGTGAGACAGGCCTAGGTGCCCACTCAGCCTCCCTGCCCCGTGCATGGCACTGTGGCCTTCTATCCGTTACCATGGCAGCCAACTATTCTCTTTAGCTGGCTGTTTGCAGACTCTCTGTGAGGCTCTGGGGGCTCCCTCTGGGGTCCCGCCATCCTCCTATTTCAGATGTAGTTGGCCCTGGGGGGTGATGTGTTCTGTGATACCATCACACCCTGCACAGTTTTGTCCCCAGTCAGCAGAGCTCACCACACCCCATCCTGAGCTTAAGGCCTGGGCCCAGTGACCCTGCTGGCCCCCACTCCTACCCCCTGCCCCTGCCCCCATGGGTTCTATCCTTGCCAGTTGGGCTTATGTCTACACCCTGCCTTCCCGTCCTCTTCCCTGACATCTGCCAGCCCAGGCAGTGATAGCATGGGCTTCCCCAGACCATGGTCATCACTTCCACGGCCCTGCCAGCTCCTCCCCGTATGCCGCTCCTGACCACCGGCCTTGCCTGCGTCCAGGCAGCGGGCTGCTCTGCTGTCTGGTTCGCTCGCGTGGTGTGTGTGCATGATGTGCTCCCCCCAGGTCCCCGGCCAGTGGGCCTTTAGCGATTGCCCTTCATGGGTCAGCCACCTCAGCAGCCGCCTTCCTGAGATGATCGTCTTTGAGGTTCCCATTGTTAGAAGCCCACTTCCAGGGGCGCCTGGGTGGCTTAGTCGGTTAAGCGTCCGACTTTCGCTTGGGTCATGATCTTGCGGTTCGTGGGTTCGAGCCCCGCGTCGGGCTCTGTGCTGACTGCCAGCTCAGAGCCTGGAGCCTGTTTCAGTCTGTGACTCCCTCTCTCTCTGACCCTCCCCTGCTCACGCTGTCTCTCTCTCTCTCTCCTAGAAATAAATAAAAATATAAAAAAAAATAAAAAAAAAGAAGCCCACTTCCAGAGGGAGGCAGGGGCGTGTAGGGTGGTGGGTGTCTATGTCTGGGGCCCTGCAGCCAGTGAGCCGGGGTGTGTCTCTCTGCTTTCAAGGGAGCAGCTCTCCTGCCCCTTGTGGGAAGGGCAAGGACAAGGGCATCCATCTATAAGTGTGTCGGGGCAGCAGACACTAGCATGTCCCGTGTGCTCTGAAGTACTTGGAACTGTGCTGGGCCTCACGGTGCTTGCTGCTGGCAGTGAGCTCACGCCAGTCCACGGGAAAAAGCGATGAAGTTCCAGCCCCCCCACCCCCCCAAGATGCTTTCAGAAAATGAGTTGATGGGGCCCAAACTACTCCTCCTTAACTTCTGCCATCTTCCAGCGGTGGCTCATCATACTGGCCTTGTGCCCTGGGCGTGTTCTTGCAGCAGGCCCCCTTTCCTCTGGGCCTTGCCATCCCATCGACGGAATCAAAGGGTGGGTCAGGTGATCTCCCAGAGGACCTTCAGCTCTAAAAGAAACTGGGTGACAGGCGTAGCAATTCAGATATATAGGATGAAATTCACTTCTCTCGGAGAACATATTAGTACACACAGGAAACAATTAGAGATTGTTACAAAATGTATGAGGTGAAGTATTAACTTGTGTGGTGCGGGAGAAATCTCTGAGTAGGGACAGAGCCATGAGGACTAGGCATAGGGCTTCTCATTTATTTGTTCATTCCATCGGCCCTACTATGTGCTGCATGAGGTACTAGGGACATGATGGCAGATGCAGGCAGAAGCAAGGGCCCACACGGTGCAGTTGGCTAAGGAGGTGTGCACACTGCTGTGGGAACACACAGGCAGGGTTCCAGCCTTCCTAGATTTGGGAACGTGATCAAGAAAGACATACTAGAGGAAGGGTCGTCTGAGCTTGGAAGTGCCCAAGGCAGGTAAGGGCAAGGCAAGTAGGGGAGAAGTCTTCCCGACCAAGGATGAGCAGACCCCCCAGCCCCTCCTACGCCCCCCTGCACCCCCGGCACAGAGCTCTCACCTGGGTGCCGGGCGCTGCTCTGGCACGTTGCATGCACCATCCCGGGTAGGATAGGTGCCGTGGTTACCTTCCTCATAAGTGTGAGGGTGCCACGGCTCAGGGAACTGGCTGCACGACACGCGGCTAGCGCGAGCTGGGGTTGGAACCAGATCTCTTGGTTTCGTGGAACCCGTTCACAAGCCCAGACTTTGCCGGCTCCCAGGAGTGAGAGGTGGAGCCCCAGTCTCCTTAGGTTTCCCTCAGCGCCACACCGAGAATAGAGCAGTCACACCTCTGTGTGCTTTCTCTCGGCCGTGTCCCCTTCTCTCATCTTCCATGGCAGGGAACTTGTGTGAGACAGTCGAATCCAAATGTTCTCACTGACTTGGGGTCAGGGTCAGAGGAGCACAGTCAAGTGACCGAGAAGCCAGAGCTCTGTCTCCTTAGTTGAGAAGGACCATGCAGATCCGTAACTACTTCCCTCAGCCCTCTCAGCCCTGGTGTGAGCTGGTCGCAGAGGACCCACATGGATATTGTTGGCATAGCCGAGACCTCAGTATCCAAAAGCCTGCTGGGACAGTTCCGATTCTCTAAAAAAAAAAGAACATAATTGACATTGTCAAACCTTCTCCCGAGCCACGTTTCCGTCCAGCCACCAGACTAGTCAGCTTTTAAAATTTTGTGTTTTAGATGTAGACTCACCTTTTGACAATTTGAAAAGAAAAAGAGCATATGGTTTCTATGAACTCCCTAGAACTATATTTTCGACATGAGATATTTTTAAGTATAACTGAATTTCATAAATATGACATTTGGTAACACTTGAGCCTGTTTTTGTTATGTTGTTTATAGCAGAAAAATAATCTATTCCATATCTTTTTTTTCAGAAACTTCTAGAACTCAACAACCTTCATTCTCTCATGTCTGTGGTATCAGCATTACAAAGTGCACCCATCTTCAGGCTGACAAAAACCTGGGCTGTAAGTTAATCCCTTTGAGTTTTGGCTCTCATTTCACTGGGGTGAAGTTCTTCATTCCTTGAGCTTCTGAAGGCTTTCTCTGACTGTCTGCCCTTTGCCAACGAGAGGTGATTACTGTGGGTTTCCTGGGTATCTTCTGTCCTTTGGGGACTTCAGCCCCATTTTGGGACAAGAAGTTGTGAGGATGCCAACATGGCCAGGGGCAGAAGTGCCCTTGAGTGGACCTTCCTGGACCCTGTGACTTCATGTGTGGTGGCTGGGTCAACCCTTCTGCCCTCCATTTGGCTGGCATTCTTGTGACAGGCTCTGAACTGCTCTGGGGAAGGTCTCTGGGACTGATGGGTCTCAGCTGCCCTGGGCTGCTGGCCGAGTACGTGTAGCTAAGAGTTTCTCTGGAGAAACCTGTGGCCTTTTTTTTTTTTTTTTTTTTTCCCCTCCTGAAGGCCATGGATAATTTCAGCTCAGAGGTGGAGTCTGATAGTTATATAATTGAGTCTGTAGGAAAGTTTTTCTGCTGTAAAACTACTTTAAAAATATCTCAGACCTCTTTATCCTCCTTAGCTTGGCATAGTGCCTGACATGGGGGAAGTAATTGCTATTTCCATAGCTCATTAGTATTCACCTCCTGGCCCGCCTGGTCCAGGGTCTCCCACAGCCACACAGCCCAAGGCTTTCAAGACCTGTTTATGTCCCGCGGAACTGAAGGAAACTATATGGACTTGTCAGCTGTGTTTCTGCAACTCATTTCCGAACTTCTTTCTGCCAGTCTGTGGGGCTGGGCTCTGTTTCATACTTGGCTAATTCTGGGGCCTTTAAAACACTTAAGGATTATGTTGTAGGTGATCAGGAATGAGCCCTATTTTTTTTTAAATTGCAATTTTCCATAGCTAGTTCTAGCGAAGTGGAGCGAGCGATCTCAGCCTGGAGTCAGAAACCGGGTTTGTGTTCAGGCACCGTTCAGAGCATGACTTCTGTGGGACTCATTTCCCTGTATCTGCTCAGAAGTTGGCCTAGATTAGTGGTTTGACGTCAGTGCTTCGTGGAGCCCCAGGGGTTCCGTGGAGCTGCCTTGGGGACCACCAGGGTCTGGGGGAGAGGAGGAGGGTGCCAAGAAGACACCTTGGCCCTGTTTCCACCAAAGCTGCTCTGTTCTCATCAGTTTTTGGGTGACTTTTGGTTGAGCAATAGCTTGGGAGGTTGAGAGCCAGTTTGGAAGCCACTGATCTCTCCTGTTGCTGCCAGCCCCGTGAGTCCCTGAGTCCATCCGAGCCTGGAGGCTTTTTTCAAAAGTTGCCTAGAGATTCTTTTTCAAATGAATTTTCCATTATTTAGATGCTGCTGTCGTCGTTTTTTGGACTGCTGGGAGCTATGTGCGCCTCGGAGAGATGAATTACGGAGCTTGGGGTGCACAGACCTTACTGTCAGCAGAGCTGGGACTCTCAGCGACCCCTGTGAGCTGTGTAGTGGGTGAGGGCAGTGAGCTGAGTAGGAGAGTCTTGCAGGCCACCTCTCACTCACCTGTCCTGTTGGCCCTAGGCCGGCGGTTGGCCCGGAGCAGTTGGGAAATGCAGGGGGCAAGAGCCATCCTCTTTCCCGTTCGTCCAGGTCACGGCAGCCCAGTGGACGGGTGGCCGCGTTTCTTCCTGACCCTCTCTCCACGCCTGCTGTCACAAGTACACAGCACATCTGCTCTGTGGCTTTATGTACGGGTCTGCCTCTCTCTTTCAACTGCCTTCTTCTTTCACATGAGGAGGTCGGACTTTCCTTGGGGTCTCCGGTGCCCAGCTGAGTGCCCCCGTGTCGTGTGCACTGCAGTCGTTCATTGTGCTGAGTCTTATCCTCCACTCGCTGAGATTTCTGGTAAAGAGATTAGCCACAGAAGTATTGCCAGAAAGGAGCTGCTTCCCTTCTCCCCCCTGTTCCCTTGACGTGGTCCTGGGGAGACCCTGTGGGCCTGCCGAGCAGGCCAGGAGCACGGGAGCCACAGCCACAGCAGCACAGAAGGTCAGTGCTTTCATGGTCTTCATTTTTTCAGAGAAGGAAACAGGTTCCAAGAGGTGTGGTGGCCTGACCATGATCGCGGAACTGGCGAGGACCAGAGCTGGTGTGATGCCTTGCTGACTGCGTAGTCCACGTTCTTGGCCTGTTGGGATCAAGCTGGGCACAGGGCATGGAGAAATTGGCACACGCGTTGCTTGGGAAGTGAGGCTGGCCCACGGACCCTTGGGGACAGGGTGTGACCAGCCTCCTGAGTGCCGTCCCTGGGGTGGCACTGAAACCCTGGATAGATGGGAACCCTGGGTGTAAGGGAGTTATGGGTGTGCCACTTGGTTGCACCGTGAATGACCTCCGGTGAGGGCCAGTTGGTCATTAGCTGTAGGGCAGGGTGGCCTGTTGACCGAGGCTGGCTACGGGGTGCCAGTAGCCAAGTGAATTGGGATGCATCAGAGACTGACACTGAGCACAGGCTCCCACACAGCACGCCCTAATAAATGCTGACTGTTGCACAAACAGGGAAGGAGTCCCCTTCTGTTGGCCTGGAACAACGCAGGCAAGGTCTGATTCATCCCAGCACTGGGGCCTCTTTGAGATACTGGCCGCCTCAAGACCTAAGCAAGACGTCATATTGGTCAGTTCTGATTTCCTTAGCATGCACTGCCGGGCCGCTCTTATTCGTTCTGCAAACCAAACATTTATCGAATGCTTCCTCCCTGCCAGACCCTGAGGCTATGGTCAAGAGCCCTGACTTTTGTGTTGTTCAGAGGAGGCAGACACATTATTGAGGGCAGATGAGCACGTGCCCCGCCTTGCTGGTATTAGAAGAGATGGAAAAATGTTGAGTGTGTGAAGTACTGTCAGCTGGTATGAGAAGGACACAGGAGACCAAGACAGGAGGGGGTGAGAGAGGGTGATGGGGTCTGCTGGGATGTGGGGCCTCAGGGAAGGCCTCTCTGAGAAGGAAGAGCACACTAAGTCACGACCTGAGTGACACGGGGTCTGGCCGGGCCAGCGTGAGGGCACAGCAAGTGTGAAGACCCCCAGTGGGAAGAAGCTTGGTGCCATCAAGAAACTCAGAGCCGGTGCGGCAAGGGCACGGGGGCCATAAGGAAATAGGGGCCGGGTGCTGTGGCCGGGCCCATCAGGAAGAGCTGATGGCCCGGGACAGGAGTTAGGTTCTATTCCAAGTGCAGGGAAGGGTTTTAAACGGGAGCCGGACATGGTCTGGCTTACAGCTGCTTTTTGGGGTTTTTTTTTGTTTGTTTGTTTTTAAATCACCATTGCTACTGTGTGGAAACAACCTGGGGTGGGGGGGCGGTACAGGGGGCCAAGATGGGAAGCAGGGCCTGCTCAGGAGGTGCAGGCAGCATCCGGGAGTGAGGTGGTGCTGGTTGGGATGGGGAGGCGGCAGCACACAGGGGAGAAGGAGACTGATGGGGCAGGTGTTCTGAAGGCAGACCTGGCAGATTCGTCTGATGGGTTGTTGGAAAGGAGGAAAAGGAGGGAATGAAGATGATTTCCAGGTTTGGGGCCTGAGCAATAGGGGCAATGGTGAAACCTTTTCTCTGGTCAGAGTGGTCCCAGGAGGAGACCGACTTACTCACGAGTGACCTGGGGGTATGGAATTCCTGGAGTTTGGGTGAGTCACTCTTTACAGTAATTATAGTCACGTGCTAAATGTCACACACACACATACACACACACTCACACACTCACATACATGCTCTCCTGACTCTCTGCATGTTCCTGTCATGATTTGCTCTTTCCTACTGAATCGATCCAGGAGGTTTGACTCAGCAACAGCAACAGCGGGAAATCATCGCCAATGGGCCAGGCGGTCTGTCTGGTCTGCAGGATGGGGACCTGGAAAGGGAGCCTCCTGGGAGTGGGACTCTCACTCCAGACACTTGGGGGTGAGGCACAGGGTCATCAAGCTCTCCAATTTGGAGAACAGCCACTTTGCAGATGTCCTGAGGAGGCTGACATGTGGCATTCATGTATTTCGGATTTTCGAGGCTTCTCTTCAGGAAGTGCCTCTGTTTGATGTAGGGGGAGGGAGGCCCCAGCTCTCGCCCCCTCCCCCCCCCAATGTTGTTAAGAAGATGGCCATAAGCATAGGCTGCCTGTTTTAGGCTTTTCCTGAGCCTTGGTTTAGGTGGCAGGCAAGATGGGTGAGGGGGTGAGGAAATGGAGGGCAGAGGAAACCAAGGTTTGTGCCTCCAATTACTCGTTCCCCGGTCCTTCCTCAGAGCCGTGCCTGCATTGCTTCTCAGAAGGTCCCAGTCATGAACCGTGCTGACATTTTCACTCTCACTTTCCTTACGTTGTCACAGCATTGGATACTTCATCACCCACTTCTTGAAAAATCTCCTTCCCTCGCCTTGGTCCTCTTCTTCCATTTCTGACAGCCAGCTCTTCCCTGACGGCGTTTGTTCCTCTCCCCCACTGGGTGGAAGTGCTCTGTCTCCCTCGGGATCCCAGGACACGGAGGACACCGCCGTCACTTGTGTGCTCGGTGCAGGCTGTCTCCTCCGCTCACACTCGGCCTCCTCCTGCAGCGCTAGCCCCACGTTCCCACGCCTGCTCCACGCAGCCCTCGCCTGGCAGCTCACACTTGGCATGTCTGAAATCAAACTTTGGTTTCCAGGAAGTGATAGGGAGTGCCAGAAGCCTCTGTTAGCAGATTGTGTTTTGGACTTTGAAGCAATATGGTAGACTGAGCCGGCGGGGGTAAGCCCCGCCCTCCCGATCGCCTGCAAACACACAAACACAAATAAATGCTGGAAACAATACAACCAAATTAAAACCCAAGATGCAAAGCTGAACTGGAAGCCAAGAGAGGGAAGTCACCATGTGCTAGAAATAAAGCACGCTCTCCGAGTGAGCACAGCGAGCGCGGTGAACGGAGACCACCGCGTAAGGGCCTTGCGGCTGGCACTAGGGTAGCGCATGCGCGCTGGGAGCGGAGTCCCGCCCAGGCCCCGTGCGCGTGGGGGGAGGGA